AGTGCACCTGTTGTTAATTTAATTAGCACCAAATCAGCTGAAACTGCTTAACAATTGCCTCTGCTGCTTAACTAACCCGTTCAATATTCCTGGAGTTTCATTGACTTGATGCTATACTCTGATTAAAAAGTGTTCCTTTAATTTTTTGAGCAGTGTACATTTCGCTTGAATTTTAGCCAGTTTGTCTTATTTTAATCATTTCAATCACTTTGACATTGAAAACGTTTAAACCTTTAAACTGGAGAAAAACTGTGGCAAAATAGGGTAAAATTTGTGAAAAAAGATGAATTAGTCTCTATAAATAGGTCCCTAAGAGTCAATCTCCACAGTGATTTAGAATTATAGACCTAGATGACTAGTGGAAGCAGGGAAAGAGAACCGTATATTTCATCCTGTAGTTTTAAACTAAATATAGCTTGAAATAACGTCAGATGCTACAGAAATAATTGGTGACCTCAACTACTACCACACAATAAACTATAATGTGCTCTACTATTTTGTTTGCTTTGCCTACCATGTTAATTTTTTAAATCTATAACACAGTGTATAATTTTCTGCTAAAATCATGTTTTCACATTTGGTTTATTTGTTATATTAAAAAAAAATATATATTATTAGGAACACCAGTTTAATTGACTGGTAACACAAATTGCTAATTAGCCAATCACATGGAAGCAACTCAATGCATTTAGACATCTAGACGTGGTGAAGACAACTTGCTGAAGTTCAAACTGAGCATCACAATGGGAAAAAGAGGAATTTAAGTGACTTTGAACATGGCATGGTTGTTGGTGCCAGACAGGCTGGTCTAAGTGTTTCAAAAACTGCTGACCTACTAGGATTTTCACGCACAATCATCTCTAGGGTTTAAAGAGCATGGTTCGAAAAAGAGAAAATATCCAGTGAGAGGTAGTTGTGTGGACAAAAATGCCTTGTCGATGTCAGACGTCAGAGGAGAATGGGTAGACTGGTTTGAGATGATAGAAAGGCAACAGTAACTCAAATAACCACTCATAACAACAAGGTATGCAGAATACCATCTCTCAATGCACAACTCTTTGAAGCAGATGGGCTACAGCAGCAAAAGACCACACTGAGTGCCATTCCTGTCAGCTAAGAACAGGTAACGGAGGCTACAATTCAGACAGGCTCACCAAAATTGTACAATAGAAGATTGGAAAAATGTTTCCTGGTCTGATGAGTCTCGATTTCACTAGAGATGGTTGTGTGTTAAAATCCCAGTAGATCAGCAGTTTTTTAAATACTCAGACCAGCCCGTCTAGCACCAACAGCCATGCCACATTCAAAGTCTCTTCTTCCCCATTCTGATGCTCGTTTTGAACTGCAGCAAGTCGCTTTCACCACATCTAGATGCCTAAATGTATTGAGTTGCTGTCAAGTGATTGGCTGATTAGCAATCTGTGTTACCAAGCAATTGAACAGGTGTACCTAAAAAAGTAAATATGTATATATAGTCTATTCCAAACATCAACTACTCTTTTAGTAACATAATACTTTCTAGAATTAGTATTGAACTTTCCTCTTGCTACTTTGAGGTCATGTCCCCATGTTCTTGATCTTATGTTCATATTGAAAATACTGCCCTCCTGAACTAGTTCACCCCCTTGATGTATTTAAAGGTCTCATCCATGGCTCCCCTTTCCCTTCTTTCCTCTAGATATTAAGTTCTTGACGTCTCTCCTAATATGTTTATCACCTATATGGATTTTTATTTGAACAGAGGCAGTCAACAAGTGGAAAGGCAGGGTTGGTCTTTCTTACTGTAAAACCCAGCATTACTCTAGAAAACTAAAAATAAAGGTGCATGACCTATATTAAAATAAACATTTTATACAATGAACTAAACCTTTTGAGTTTAGAACCACTTTAGGCCTAGCTTCACGCTAAAAGCATTGATCTCTGTAAGATGATGTGGCACACTGCATATAATATTCTACAAGCATTGCAAATATTTTCTATGTACATAATTTACAGTCAAAAGCGTCAGATCCAATGGAAATTGGAATCTTCACAAGCTCACCTTTGTATTAATATGGTCTTTTCTTTTATTCATATAAAGCAATAATCATTGTAGCAAATTGCTCCTTTACACACCATGCTCAGAGGCAAGCACATACTCCTTTAACACTTTTTCCCACAGTCACCTGGGCTCCCTGTGCTGCCTGGTTTGCAGTTGTTTCCCCCCTTTGGATGTAGTATGTATGTGTTCCAGAAAAGCTTCTGCTACTAGATCTCAGCAGGTGCTATGGGCTGGGGACCTGAAGGAAACTTACCTGTGGGAGCTGCGATGGAGAGATGGGACCTTTTGCCTGTAGCTCCAAGTATGGAAGTACTTATTGAGGGTGAGATACCAGTAGTTGCTGCTTATGAACTGTGACTGCTCACGTAGGGTTAGAGATTTACTTGGCTGTCCCCTCTCCATCAGCATTATTTATGAGGTTGCTACTACATGGCCTAATACTGCTGAGACAAGATATTCAGGAACCTGTTCTCCAAAATTTGTGTTTCTTAGGTATCCTGCTCCCTGGATCTCCTGTTCAAGACCTGCAATAAACCTTAACAAGACCTCTAGACTGAAGCCTGAATTTGTCAGTATTTCTCCATCGTGCCTTCAGGAGTCATCACTATACATCAACTACAATTAAAAAAGTTGTCAGAAAATGTCAGTGCTTGAATTCCTAAACGATATGATTATTATAGTTCATGAAGATCCAGTTAAGGTAATGGGCACTTTGACACTGGTACATGCCTTAATACGTTTGCTTTCATGAATTGAGCAGTGTTGTGGTAAGAAAAGGGTTTCCAATGCAACACAGTGCTCCACAACACATGGCATTTCCTTTTGTGTTGCACTGTAGAGCAGGTGCATTTGCAGCTACTGTGTATATGCAATGGGATGCTATTTTAGACAAATATGACAGATTAGGGTGTACTGCATTAACACAAATTAAAATGCGTTCTAGATGAATGGTACTCATTAGGGTGTGCTGTGCTAACACAAAATAAAATGCATGTTTCTCCTTACGTAACCACAATGCACAAGTGTGAAGCCTGTATAAAGGTGCTACCTGCAGTCTCTGTACAGAGGGTTATACATGTGGATTTTAACATTGGATTGCTACTGAAATTTTTCATGATGCATCAGATTCATTTACTTGTGATTGCAAGTAAATTCAGTTATAGAGGTAATAATATCATCCTAATTTATTATTTATTTTAAGCAAATATCAGCTTTAAATCAGTGTCATAAGAAGGTATAGCTCCCTGTCGTACTGATACCTGCCTGCTTGTGTTCAGCAGGTAAGAATTGCTTTAAGATGGGTCCACAAAAAGGTCTCTCCTGTCTAAGCACTAGTCAACTGATGACAGGGACTTGATTGATTGAGTTGCTGAATGGGCATACAACATGAGAAAAGTGTGAAGTTCCTCACAAAGTATTGTGCTAAGAACCTAATTCTCTAAGGCGCAAAACAAAAAAAGAGGCAAAAAAAAACGAATGGGGGGGGGGGGGGGGGGGGGGGGGGGGGGGGGGGGGGGGGAGACCAAGGTTGTTAGTTCTTAAAGCAGGGATTGAGATGAGAAGAAAGAAGAAATTGTGTAGAAAAACTATCTTGATTTGTAATCCATTTCTATTCCATAATCCAACTCAACTAGCAATGGACTGTTTTTTTTTTTGCTTCCTTTTTGATCTGTTATTATACTTAAAGCCATTTGTTGGATAAGTGCAAAAAAAAAAAAAGACATGTTAAGCCTTCTAGAAATACAATATCTTCCTTTGTCCAGTGCACTCTGATGGATTATCTCAACAGCCTTGTTTAAAAGAGAAATAATACTTATCTAGGTGGATGCAGCATTGGTCCCATGCTGCATCTGTCCTCCGCTGGCTGCCGCTCAGTTTTCAGAGCTAAATGAGCAGAGAGCTGGTGACTGTCAGTCACCGCTCTCTGCTCTGCCACCCTTGCCCCCCTCCTCCTGTAGAGGCTCTCAGCGAATCACTGAAAGACTGAGCCAGGCTATGCTTCATATTTACATTTTAATGTTTAAATTGACAATCGGCTAAATGGTTAGCACTTCCGCCTGGCAGTACTCGGGTCATTGGTTTGAATTCCAACCACGGCACCACCTGCCTGGAGTTTGCATGTTTCCCTGTGCCTGCGTGGGTTTCCTCCGGGTACTCCGGTTTCCTCCCACACTCCAAAGACATGCTGGTAGGTTAATTGGATCCTGTCTAAATTGTCCCTAGTATGTGTATGTATGAATGTGAGTTAGGGACCTTAGATTGTATGCCCCTTGAGGGTTAGGGACTGATGTGAATGTACAATATATATGTAAAGCGCTGCGTAAATTGACAGCGTTTATATAAGTACCTGTAATAAATAAAAAAAACCCTAACCCTTAAACCTTTTAATGTTTTTAAATTTACATTTTGACTGAAATAAACCTTTAACCTCCCTAGTGGTCTGATTATGTCCATATTTCTGTGCTTAAAGCAGTACATTTTCTTGCATGGAAATATGTATTTTTTTTATTGTAGGCCTGTAATTTTTAGGAATAATTCACTGAAATCTGTCCGAATAAGAGTCTAGTAAACATCTCGGGTATGATAAAACTTGAAACATGAAATCATAAATTATAATTTAATAAATAATCATAAAAAATAATAATATAATAATAATACATTTAATTCAATAATATAATCAAACCAAAAACACTAAAATTTGAAATATAACACCAAGTTCGCACATCACTGATCAAAGTCGCACAATTGTTTTCAGTGTCTGATGATGAATTTCCCTACAAATCATTATCACTCAATTCTGCAAGTAGTTCTAATTTACTATCGCTGTTTTCTAGCTGGTCTAAAACCGCTTTTTGACCTAAAGGGACGCTTTTTTGGACGCCATGGACGTTTCTCAGTTTCCAGGCAGAAAGAACAGGAAAAATGCAGGCAGGGCACAGGACAAAGCACTCGGGACAAAATGTATGTGAAATGGTTTGATACAGTAATGTTTTACTATGTGATTTTAGTATATTTATTGAATATCACTTTTTGACATTTTCAAATTTCCCGCCGTACGTCCCGACGCTTCGCTGGGGATGGAACCCAGATGACAGATGCCGACATCCACCGGATTACATTGCCGGGGACACTGCAGGAGAGACATCGCAGGAGCGCAGGACAAGGTAAGAGAAGAACAGATCCCGGAGCAGTGCCGCATGGTAAGCCCGAGTGTAGCTCAGGGTTCCCGCTTGTGGTACTGAAACTTTACCCCGAGCTACACTCGGGAATACCGCCAGGGGGGTTAAGCCTAATCGATAACTGTATCCCTAAGAATAAACTAACTGCTAAAGCACGATTACCTATCAGCACCAAAACTACCCTGTGCCAAAGTCTCAACACGAAAAGATATCAGTATATACCTGTATACGTAAATACATCAAATCCATTAGACGTCACTACACACTGTCCAGGGAGTATCAGCCCAAGTGCAGCGCATCAAAGTAACATCCGTAGTTAAAGTGGCACCCTCAATCAACATTGACTTTTATTAATTATGCTGCTAGCAATAGTAACTAGAGAGGAAAGTATACATAATTACTTGTCTTAAAGCGGTGGTAAACCGCAGTAAAGGGAAAAAAAAAAGTCCCCTTCAGGGTAATGTCATAATGTGATAGTATGCATTGCATTATAGCACATTATGTAAAACTTACTGTAAAACAAAGCCCACCAGCACTCACGTGTTGTCACCGCTGTAGAGGCTGCCATCTTCACCCATCTTCCTTCCAGGTTCGCGAGCTCCAGCCGTCTGACAGGCTGGGCCGTGATGACGTCACTCTTGAGCATGCACGCGGTAGTCCCGGGCAATGTCACACAGCTCTGAAGGAACGGAACGGATATGCAGTTCCTTCAGAGCGCATGCGCTGGCTTAAAAAAAGAGAGAATATTTCCTAAAAGGTGCATGTGTAGGAGATATTCATTTTACCTACAGGTAAGCTTTATCATATGCTTACCTCTAGGTAAAATAGAAAAAAAAAACAGTTTACTGCCACTTTAAACCTTTTTTTTTAAATTTATTAAGTTACTTCCTGGTTTCCAGGTCTAGGCAAGTTACATCATACATCCCAAGTGCCTTTAGGAGGGGAGGAGGGGCTTTCTCAGCTAAGCACACCCTCCTGCCTATATGTCTGAACTAAGGGTAGATGGATTCCCGGAAGTAAATGCTACATGAATCATCTGCCCTTACTTAAGATGGCCACAGCCAGAAATGCTAGGGGATGTTTTTCAAAGTAATTTCTCAGCAAAATAAAGCATGAAGACATAGATGCATGGGTGTGTTTGCTTTGAATATTAAAACTGAATTACATTGTGTTTTTGGTTTGTGTTGCTCAGGTGCAATGTAATTCTGCTTTAAGTAGAAAGTAGTAGAGCCACTCACGGGTTTTGAACAGGAGTGTGTCTCCAAACAAGAGGATTTTATTCTGTTCAACATTTCGATGTATTGAAGTCCATCTAAGGCTCCATGCACACTGGGTGTTTTGATAACACTGGTAACATTAGCTGTGAAAAGTCACATTAAAAACGTGAGTTTTTCAGCTTTTTTTTTAGCATTTTTGCATTAGTGCTTAGTGGTGTTTTGCCATGATTAGCGACATTTTCCCATGTTTGCGTTTTTTAGTGTTTGTTGTTTACCAAAAAAAATTTTTTTTGGTCAAAAAGAGTCCAAAAACACCAATTTGCGACGTTATTTTTTTTATTATATCTTTTATTATGTTTTTTCCCCCTAAAATAGAAAAAGATACATACAAGTTGGGAAAAAAAAGAAGAGAAATAACAAAAAAAATAACAGAAAAAAACCCAAATATAATAACTAACTTCTCCCATTCCTCCCAAATAACTTATTTCATATTTACCCTACCCCGCACAAACCCTAAAGCTCTAAAACTGCACCACTTTCCTGGTTTCTAACCTTCATCGTTATCAGTCTAAATCTGTTTGCGGCATTTTACCGCGTTTGCCCGCGTTTTTCAGCGTTAGAGCATTTTTACAGCTAAAAAACTCTAGAAACCCACAAGTCCTGGATTTTTTCCAGCCAAAAAACATTGATTACAGTCTATATGTGCATGGACTCGTAGGATAACATGCTGGGGACTTTACTGGCTGTAGCAAAGTACCTTGATTGAGATTTATCAGATAAATAGAATAAACTCCCCTTGTTTGAAGACATACTCCTGCACAAGACCTGTGAGTCCCTCTACTACTTTCTATTTATCTACCGTACATAAAAATAAAGGTGTTTTGCTTTGGTGTTCAGTCAAGCTAAGAATATAATAATTTTATGGAAAATGACTTTGGCTGTTGGCTGTTATACACAATATGAAATACATGACAATATTCACGATTCATGATGTCTTGTTTTTTTAATTCACCTTTTAGAATAAATGAAATATTTCTGAAAGGATTGCTCTGACTAGTGGCTACTTAAAGCCTTGGAAAGTTTTTTTTTTCGTTCCAGCCCAGAGGACACATCTAGCTGAGGATCCAATCTGTGTCCATCACAGAGAGCCTTTTCATTTCTCTTGCACATCACAGTGACTGCTCCTGTGCAGTAGGTGGCCAACACTAGCTGAATACAGCCAGCTCTGACAAGCCATTTCACTGGAAAATACTCTACTGAACAATGATGTCCTATTGTTTCCTTTCAGAGAGTTCTGATGGGGGACTGACAAGTGGAAAATGACGCTGTCCTGTTAGTAGGTTCCATTCACTTTGTGCTATACAAGCAATCTATTCATGATAATTACTAATATGCTATTATGCTCATCCTTTTAGAGGCGATAATCAAACAAACAACAAAGATATTCCTTAAGATTTCAATTATCACATCTATGTAACGAGCCTATCAAATAGATTTCAGAACAGAGCCATGTGGAATTTATGTTTGCTAAATAAGACTTAGAGAAAACATTGTAACTAAGAGAGATCTTTTAGTAAGTCATTCCACTGCCAGGCGTATATCTAGAATCTTGTATTGTGAATTGTATTTCTCTGACATTTCAAATACACTGGCAGGATTAGTAATCTCTTTTTTCACTGTTTCTGATATTTTATGTCAAAAGTAGTTCATGCTGAATTGCAGATAAATACACAGATGAAATATATATAAGGGAGCTGTTTTATCTGCTCAAAGATTTGTATTTTTGGTCATCCACTCATGTGATTCACGCTGCTCTGCCACACAGAACAGATAGGTGGACACCACTAAATGGATAGCCAAAAAGAAGCAGCTCACTCACGAATGCAGCAAACCTGAATGGCTTCCAGGCTATCCTAGTGCAGCTGCACAAGACATTGCAAAAGGCTAACATCAAGTCAAGTTTAGACATACTAGCTTGATTACAACAAAATACAGGTCATGGTTTATTAATGGATAAAGAGCTGAAATAATGTGTGTTTTCTATATGAGCCAGGAGTTTAACTTTAAACTTTTTCTGCAATAGCAATTGTGTGGGTTTCTGCACATAATATGCTAAAATTACTCCTTAACTACAGTTCTCTGGGGTGTGTCAGGCTGAATACATACAGCATAGGTGGATTTTTAAATATTTTTTTACCCTTCTAAAAATGTTCAAAGTAACCCTGCAGCCCCAGATCAAATTTACCATCAACCAGCTGAACTGCAATGATCTGTACAAAGTGATCAACTTTGTCATAATTCATTGCAGGACCACAGTAGGGTATGTGTGTCCTTTTAAATCCAGGAGGTGACAACTAAGCATGAAGGCATGTAATGAGGACTTTCAGAAAGACAAGAATCGTAAATACATATACAGTTAGGTCCATATTAATTTAGGCACAGGCACAATTGTAGTTTTGTTTCAGGTATTTACCAAAATATATTCAAGCTATAGTTATATAATGGATATGGTCTGAAAGTGCACACTCTCAGGTTTACTTTGAGGGTATTACATCCAAATTGGAAAAATTAGGAATTACTTTTTCAAGGGGTAATTGTACAATTGAATCAAAAACTGTTTCATGGCTTGGTATGGGCTACTTCTTCGTTATTTCTTCATCAATTAAGTAGGTAAAAGGTCTGGAGTTGATTCTAAGTGTGGTATTTGCATTTGAAATCTACTGCTGTGAACCTACATCTTGTGTTCAAAGGAGCTGTCCATGCAAGTGAAACAGGCCATTGTAAGGCTTCAAAAACGAAAAGAGAGATAGCAGCAACATTAGGAGTGGACAAATCAACAGTTTGGTGCATTATGAGGAAAGAAAAAAGCACTGGTGATCTCAGCAACATAAAAAGGCATGGACGTCCACAGAAGACAAGTGTTGGAAAATTGCAGGATGCTCTCTATGGTAAAGAAAAACCCATTCACAATATCCAGACAAGTGAAGGACACTCTCCAGGAGGTGGGCCTATCATTGTCATAATCTACAATCAAGAGAAGACTTCACGAGATCAAATATACAGGGTTCACCACAAGGTGCAAACCATTCATAAGCCTGAAGAATAGAAAAGACAGATTAGACTTTGCCAAAAAACATCTAAAAAAGCCAGACCCATTCTGGAAAAGCATTCTTTGGATGGTTAAAACTAAGATTAATCTGTTCCAGAATGACGGGAAGAAAAAAGTGTGGAGAAGGCTTGAAACAGCTCATGATCCAAAGCACACAATGTCATCTGTAAAACATGGTGGACGCAGTGTGATGGCATGGGCATGCATGGCTTCCGGAGGCACTGGGTCATTGGTATTTATTGATGATGTGACAGAAGACAGAAGCAGCTGGATGAATTCTGCAGTGTTTAGAGATATACTGTCAGCCCAGATTCAGCCAAATGCAGCAAAGTTGATTGGATGGCACTTCACAGTACAGATGGACAATGATCCAAAACACACTGCAAGCAACCCAGCAGCTTTTGAAGGAAAAGAAGTGAAATATTCTGCAATGGCTAAGTTAATTACTTGATCTCAACTAGCTGAGTATACATTTCACTTGCTGAAGGCAAAACTAGGCAGAAAGACCCACAAACAAAGAACACTGAAGACAGCTGCAGTTAGAGCCCGGCAAAGCATCAGAAACTCAGTCTTTGGTAATGTCCATGGGCTCCAGACGTCAGGCAGTCATTGCCAGTAAAGGATTCTCAACAAAATATTAAAAATGAACATTTTATTTATGATTATATTAATTTGTCCAATTACATTTGAGCCCCTGAAAATGGAGGGACTGTGTATAAAAATGGCCGCAGTTCCTAAAATTTGTACTTGATATTTATGTTCAACCCCTTGAATTAAAGTTGAAAGT